ATTCGAACTTCAAAATGATTTTTGAAACGTTGAAGGAACAAATCGAGCCCACTGAATACACAGTGTGTCCTTAAGGAAATTATTCCCCTCAAGTACCCGAGGTTATGGAATATATCCTCCTAGGATAAAACGATTTAACTCACCAGTGTATCGGTACCTAAAACTCTGGTGATCGGCGAACCACTCGATGATCGTAAAACACACTGGAATATTTTGTGCAGAAGAAGAAGAAGATTCAGAAAATTTCGTAAGTAAATATTCTGGGATTTGAAGGTCTATTTATAGCCAACTTGGTGATGTTTCTGAAGAGGTTTGCAACCTTTCAGAATAGTCATGACCGTTGGAACAGGTGTGACCCTCTGAAGAGGTTTGCAACCTTTCAGAACAGTCATGGCTGTTGGAACAAGTGTGACCCTCTAAAGAGGTTTGCAACTTTTCAGAATAGTCATGGCTGTTGGAACAGGTGTGACACTGTTTCAGAACAGCCATGGCTGTTGGAAATATTTGTGGGAAATTTAAAACGAATTTAAATTAATCCGGGAAAGAAAAACAGGCTAGACCGGACCGGGTCGCGGGTCATCCCTCCATTTCTTTTCCCACCATTTTTCATTCACACCTCTTTTGTTATTATTTATTAAATAACAAACCCAACAATCCCCCACATGAATGGGGAATGGCTATAAACTTAAAGGAATGCGCAGACGTGTGTGTGTTTTACAAACAAGAATTGATTGCATCTGGATAAGTAGGTTTCCCTTTGAACTTTCCGTAGTGAACTTATATCGGATATACTCGGTCAATCGGTAGATTTGATATCTTTGAACCGTCGAGCTTTGTTGTATACCTAGACAACATAAGTCACACAATCAATCCTTAACCATCTATGGTTCTCACGGTTGTGTTCGTTTCAGCCATGAACACCGCCTGGTTTCATGAGTGCTTAGAGAATGGGCCTTTACTTTCATTCTCCTTGAAGCGGCTTACACTTCACACTCACATAGGTGATTCCTAAACGTGTAATCCTAAAGGCACACTATCTGGTCATATCCTGCCAGACTTAGCAAATCATTAAAAAGCTTTAAGCTTTATTGACTCATCAAAAAAGCCTTAATGCTTTACCTCGTTTTTGAACATTGTCTTCATCACGAGAATGGGTTGAGTTAGTTGACAATGTTGAACCGTCATTCATAACTTTGTTTGATCTCTTTGAACCTAGCTCTTGGGATCTCCAGTCTGCTAGGTAGAGTTACCGCCATGATGACTTGTCCTAGGCCTTTAACCCCATTCCCTTAGATGATCTTTCAACTGCCTCTCTAGATAGGCCTTTTGTAAGTGGATCCGACACGTTATCTCTTGACTTTACGTAGTCAATTGTGATAACCACTAGAGAGTAGTTGTCTAACGGTATTGTGTCTCCGTCGGATATGACGAGATTTTCCGTTATACATAACGCTCCCTGCCCTACCTATTGCCGCTTGACTATCACAATGTATACATATAGGTGCCAAAGGTTTGGGCCAAAATGGAATATCTTCCAAGAAATTCCGGAGCCATTCAGCTTCCTCACCGGCCTTGTCTAAGGCTATAAACTCAGCCTCCACTGTAGAGCGGTCAATGCACATTTGTTTGGACGATTTCCAAGACATCGCTCATCCACTGACTGTTTAGAATCGGTTGAACCGGTGATCTAATTTACATCACTATACACCTCTATTATCGTGGGATACTTATTGTAGTGCAAAGCATAATTTGGAGTATATTTCAAATGAACGTTCAATGCAAACTTCCTTATGTTGTAGACTAATACGTCTCGATTTTTGATTGCATATCAGATTATTGACTACACTTAATGTAGTAATTATAACAACAGCTGGAATGATTGGCATCAGTTGTGGCCACAACCTTTTAACATATAACACATTTCGTAATCATTCCGCCATTTTCAAGCATTTGTATGCTATTCATTCATATGTCTATATGATATGCAAATTATAGCACCTCCATTCATGAAACAAATCCAACTTGCAATGGATTTTGGTCATGTTCATCGGTTAGTTCACCTCATTATAGACCAACGTATTAATATATTCGTTCATGAACGGTCATGTCTATACAGACGTATCTTTCTATGAAAAGTCACAACCTTCAAAGTGACATCATTTCATAAAAGAACTAAACAATATAAATTTTCATTAAAGAAAATGACCTTTCGAGAAAAGGCATGTGACCAACTTCCGAATTAGTAGTTTCATCAACTAGTCTTTATTAAGACTAAACAACTGATGATTTTACCAACTACTATATCAATGGAGTTCAAAAATTATATAATTTAGACATTACGTCTAACATTGGCTTTTGTCATGCATAAGCTAAAAGCCCCCACATTTTAAATATTTCATCAACATATCATATTTAATCAAATAATGACTATATGATTTGACGTATTCTTAACGTAAACACATTTGTTTACACTCATTAATTTTTGAAACCATTTGACAATATTATTTGGTCAAATCTCGCATGTCATTGTTTACTAAACAATTTATCCAAACGTTACGACTTTCCCGGTTTCTCGGCCGGAGGAACAGCAGTGCGGCTTGACGAGGCTATCGTCGTTTGCACCAACAGTCGCAGAAGGAATTCCATTCTCATTTGCCATTTCTTACAGTCAACAACAAAAGAAATCAATTAATGGCAAAACCAAAACAGTAAATAATACTGTAATCAATAAACAGTACGTAATAAAAACAACTAAGGTTTTTATATACTGTTTTACAGAAAAACGATGAAGTTTTTATGTTCTTCAAATCGTTTTCTGAATTTCAATACCCTGATGAAGTTTTTTACATCTTCAAATCAGAATAGTAAAATTCAGACAGAATACAGAATATAATAAATATAATTTCCTTAAGATTGTTAATTTATTTGTATTGCTGTCAGTAAATAAAACAGTAATCTTTCTAAAAAAATAAAACAGAAAGTTAGTAGAAACAATTCTGAAAAATAATATTCGAACTTCAAAATAATTTTTGAAACGTTGAAGGAACAAATCGAGCCCACTGAATACACAGTGTGTCCTTAAGGAAATTATTCCCCTCAAGTACCCGAGGTTATAGAATATATCCTCCCAGGATAGAACGATTTAACTCACCAGTGTATCGGTACCTAAAACTCTGGTGATCGGCGAACCACTCGATGGTCGTAAAACACACTGGAATATTTTATGCAGAAGAAGAAGAAAAAGATTCAGAAAATTTCGTAAGTAAATATTCTGGGATTTGAAGGTTTATTTATAGCCAACTTGGTGATGTTTCTGAAGAGGTTTGCAACCTTTCAGAATAGTCATGACTGTTGGAACAGGTGTGACCCTCTGAAGAGGTTTGCAACCTTTCAGAACAGTCATGGTTGTTGGAACAGGTGTGACCCTCTGAAGAGGTTTGCAACTTTTCAGAATAGTCATGGCTGTTGGAACAGGTGTGACCCTCTGAAGAGGTTTGCAACTTTTCAGAATAGTCATGGCTGTTGGAACAGGTGTGACACTATTTCAGAACAGTCATGATGTACTAAATATTCCGTAATTTTTAATATATATTTTCTGTTTGCTCAAAAAAAAAGAAAAAAAAAGGAAATTGGTTCTCTGCAGAGGAATATGTACTCATTTGATTGCTTGAGAAAAATCAATTCAACTAATCCGCACAGCTCAACACACCACTCCTCCACTCAATAACATCAATATTTAAACCACCAATACTTTTAAAAAAAAAAGATATTACTCCTCTAAAATATCTTAAGATAAAAACAATGGCACCTTTTTGGAATGTCCATTTTACCTTTTCCATATCAGAAAACAGCCTCAGAACATGCTCAAATTTAGGGCAGTGATTGTCTTTTTAACAGTTCTGTCTTGCCTCAAATCAAAACGTGAGGTCCCCCATTCAGACAGCGAAAAGGAGTAACAGAGGACCCTACAAATGACCAAGCAACCGTTGGCAACAGCTGTATGATAACCCCACAAAAGGCTAATGAGCTATGGGCAGCATCAAATCCTCTGAGAAAGTATTCAAAAGCTGAGAAATTTTCTTTTTTAAAATTCTTTTTATATATATATCCAATATTCAAAATTCACTTATCCAACTAATTAAAATCTGATCTTGTTGGACTTAATAAAAAATGCGCTAGCTATCAAGAGGTTTTTATTCAGGTATACCATCAATCATAGTTAAGTGGTAGAAATTTCTTACTCCCTCCAAGTTCTCTTCTTGGACATTATTTGATTGGGGAAGAGTTAAAAAAAAAAAAAAACTTTTAAACCTCGTAATTTTTAAACATGACATGATATTTACGACCTGTTTGGATGGTTGTTACACATCGTTTTATAATGTATTGTATTATATGATGTTGTATTGTACTGTATCGTTTGACGAATAAAATATTTGGATAGATTCATGATATCATGCACCAGCAATATGAAGAATAAACTTGCGATATTATAAAAAAATTATGATACGGGGTAAATTTATTACTATATAAAAAGGTAGGGTAAATGATAAAATAAAATTATTTAATAATAATGAAGGGTGAAATGAGAGAAAAGACAAGATAATGACGCAACCATACCAAATTGATCGTTACATAAAGTAGCACATTTCGTCGTTACGTACGACGAATTTAACGATACGATCCAATAAAATTTAAGTAACATCCATAATAAATATTGTATTTAAAATAACAATACGATACAATACAATAGGTAACAACCATCCAAACAAGCAGTTATAAATATAAAAATATGTCATAATAATAAAATAAAAAAATTAAAATAAGTTTACTAAAATAAATAAAAGTGTTATTCTTTCTTAAACAACTTAAAATAGAGAGTCTAAAAAACAAACTACATTGAATATTATTTATGTGGTTGGACTAACGGTCTCTTCGGTCAGCCCTGCCCGTAAGACACCCCTACCACCCCTTTCCGCTATATAACACCAACCCCACCTACAATCCCTTCATATTGCATTTTTCTTCTTCTGCCCTTGTGCATTACATTCATCCCTCTTTCTCTTTTTTAAAATAAGTTCTTGAAATTCTACAATAATGGAGGCAATGAAAATGAACATTTTCATGGTGGCTCTTATTATGGTTTTGGTGGCAATGTCTGGTATCCAAAATGTGGCTGCAATGGAGGCCCCTGCACCTGCTCCTGCTTCTGATTCCTCCATTTTTGTACCCACCATTTTTGCTTCTCTCTTAGCTCTTGCCTTTGGTCTTTTCTTTTAAATAGTGACCTCTGCTGCTGCTGCTGCTTCTCCTATGGAGATATTGAGTATAGTTTTTTAGTTTTGTTGGTTTTATTTTTCCCATTTGGGATTTATGTAGTTTTTTTTTTTTTTTTTTTTTTATTATTACTCAATCTTCTTTCTTCTTCTTTTTAGATCATTTAAGATGAGGAAGAGATTGAGGTTCATTTTATTTGTCCCTTTTATTAAATTATGTTGACGTTTCCTTGGCTTATTGTTGCCGTGGACCTATTAAACTATGTTGTGGACATTCTTTAGAGTTACTATTATATGCAGAATTTGTGTATTTTTTTACAGCCTCTAATTTGTTGTTTTCCTTAGTAAATTACAAAATGTATTAGTATATAATTATCTACTCCCTCCGGCTTTCAGCCCTTTTTATCGTTCTGTTTTGAAACATTTATTTCAAAAATTTTAGTTAATGGCAGTAATCAGAAAAGGTGTTGGATTAAATTATTTTTACATTTTCCGTGAATGAATAATTAATGACTATATTTTTGGAGTAATAAGGGTGATAGAATAGAAAGAATAACTAAATACTTTTGGACCAATTTTTTTTGGTTAAGCGACATATGAAAAGGATAATCTTATGTGCCTTTTGTACCCTTTGATTTTTTTTTTCTCAGTAAATGAAGAAGCAATCCCTTTAAAAACTTTTCTCAGTAAATGAAGAAGCAATTTAATTTATTTACTGCAAAGTTAAAATGAGATTTGTTATTGATTGCAAAGTCTGGAGCTTCGGTAATTAAGTGAAGTAAAGCTTTCTACCCATGCTAGTCACCTAATTAAAAGAAATTAAATGTCATAATGATGAGTAAATCTCTAGCACAATTTTTTTTAGAAAAATTCTTAGAAGATTGTAGGAGAGTAATTTTCCCGAGTCTGCTCAATTCTGTACTTTTATTAGAAGAAAAAAAGAAGAAAATGGGCCGACAATATTCTATTGAAGTTGAAAATTTTAAAAAAAGTAAAGTACACGCTCAGTTTTTACCCGTTTTGACTTTTCATGCCCCTTAAAAAATAATAAATAAAGTGCATAATTTATCATGATACACATATTAATTGATGCATATTATATTGGATTTGAGAAAATAATTTGAAATGAGTAATAAATATTGAGAGTATAACCGGGAAAAAAAATCTTCTCTTCATATGTATAAAGTAACTAGTAAAAATGAAAAAATATTTTTAATATACATGCCAAGTAAAAGTGAAGAGCAAATAAAGTTTCAAAAAAGAAAAGGATTTATGAGAAACTAATTAGCTAGTTATCGTAATGCTATTTATGGTCAAGCCGAGTCAAAATTCTACAGTCCATCCATCATAATGGAGGAACGACATGGATATTGCGGTTCTTACCTGTTAGTTCTTCTATAGACCTCTCATTTTGTCGGTAGACATATGAAAGAGTTGCAACTTGCAATTTCTTTTATTTTTTTCTTTCTTAAAAAGAAATTCCTTTTCATTAGTGTTGGCGATGTTCACAATGCAACTTAAACCACGAAAATGCAATTGAATTCGCTAATTTTGTAACTCTCCAACAAAAGTAAACAGAGGGAATGTAAAATTTAAGAAGGCAAAAAAAGAAAAAGTGTTATAAATAAAATTGTATTTATGGTGAATGTCTATATTTAGAGAGATTCTAGGGTTCTATTCCATTGTAATTCATCCCAAAATTCAATAAGAATCCTTTCTCTCTCTCTTTCACTGCAATATTGTTCTTCTACTTTTATTATTTCATAACACGTTATCAGCACGAGACTCTAACCAATTGAGTAGAAGCTTTGGGATTGAGCATAATGATTGTCAATTATTCCATGAACTTCCTTCATGATTAAATTCTGGATTTAAGGTAAGTATTTTACCGTATTTTTCTCTTTTATTCTATACTTTGATTTTAAATACAAGCAAAGACAACAAAGTTTGATTATAACTCTAATGGAGTTTGTAAGAAATTATAACCACCTGAAGTGGTAAAATTTCTATATTTCGCCATGATCAAATTCATGTATGATTGTGGGCAAAGAATTGAAAACCCGTCCCATTGAATTTGCTCCATTCTCATTCCCTTAAGAGAATGTGATAGCAATATGTGATAAGTCTGAAAGAAGACAAAATTATTACTATGAATGTATCAATGGATATGGACGTGGCAATAGACGAAATTATAATCGTATATGGACGTGGCAATAGACGAAATTATAATCGTTATCATTTGTGGTAATGAGAACAATAAAGATTCTCAAAATAATCTTTCACTCTGTGAAAAATATTTGTCATTGATTTGACATGAGATTTTGTAAAGCACATATAGATCATTATGGTCCATTCTTGATGTGAATGTGACAACATCTGATTTATAAATATATATTCATTCTTCAAAGAATATGAACGTGCTAGTGGTAGTGAATATACCGCACTCACCTCTAAAAGGAGGTTTGAGATGATATAAGAAAATAATGTCATTATTATGGCATGAATGGTCATTGGTCACGTACCTATTGTACGCCAAAATATTTTGGCATTGTGATTGTTAAAAGACAACGGTAATGCAAGAAACAGATCTTGCATATAATTTTGACCATAACCATAATGTTATAACTTTCTCTTTAAAAGAGATATTCACCATATAGGTGTTGATGAATATGTGGTACTACAAAATTAATTGAGAACTCTGCTAGAGTCAATTATACTATTTTGGAGAAACACAATTAATTACCAATAAGGTATTGTGTTGTAGTAAGTCTCAAAGAAACTTATTCAGTTTCCAAAGTATACGCGAAAGCGGTTGATTATATTGAGACTATAAATAAAGGAAAGATTTTAATATCTTCTATTACTACAACTTGTAGCGGGGTAGTATGTATGTGAAAAGCTACCCGCTTTATTCTCCAATTTGTACTACATAAACAAAAGAATACCACAATGAAGTGGATATTTATTGATATAAAAACCCATTCATAATAAACTTGGAGTTTATTCATAATTGCACACATCATGGTGTAAACCTGAAGTTTATCAATATTGATAATTTATCCAGTTGGTATAATTGGTTTAGCCATGTTAATTCAAGTATGATGTGCAAAAAAATAAAAGAGAATTCACATGGGTAAATATTAAAGAACTAGAAAGTTCTTTACGAATTCTCTTACATTGCTTGTTCTCATTAATTAATAGACCAATTAAAATTGGGATTGAATCCCATGAATGCTGGAAATATCAAAGGTGAATATGGGCTCATTCACCTGCCATGTATACCACATAAGATGCATCTATGAGATGGTTACATGTGCAATTATTATTGACCCGCAACCTGGTGTTTGCGAGGTAACTTGCTCAATAATTTAATATAGAGCATAATTTCCAGATTTTTTTGTTCAAGATAGTTCTTCTTGATAAGTTGGTTTACATCACAGTTGGTTTAGCAAAATGATTTATTGAGTGCCTCCACTTAATAGCTAAACTATTGCTTATGAGAACAAAGTTATATATATCAGTTTGATATACGTTATATACGAAAGTATATTATTTTCTTCCCTCACAAGTGGTTCAAGGTCAGGAACCAAATAACTTCATCTTATTATTATTGATGTGCGGTGTATATTTTGATTAACACCATAACGCACAAAGATGGATTCTCAAAGTTGAGGAAACAAGTTAGTTTTTCTAACATGAGGGGGAGACAAGATACAACAGTTGAGAAAAGTTGCATGGAATGAATTATCATTTATACATCTAGATCCCCGAATAAAATAATATGAACTTGAAGTTCATAAAAAGGATAATTCATTTGCAATTTATTGCAAAGCATGCCAGACGCATTTGCTGACCCAAAGAAAGTAACTATATTCTCAATGCAAATGCTCCTATTAAGTCCTAGAAGGACAAAGTCTGTGGTACGCTTAAGGCGCATAGACAAATCGGTTTCAAATAAACTTCTTGATAAAGAAGATGAGCAAATGATCTAAATGATCATAATAAAGGAGGCAAGTGATCCAGAAGGTCACACGACATAATACTTCATAAAATCTCATGAGAGATTCAGGTACCTGAATATATGAATGAAGAGATCTCTATGTTATGTCTTTATGAAAAATAAGGAGGTTGGAACCGATATAAAATATTTGTCGACGACATCTATAATAGCGCTAAATATATATATGAGGATCTTAAGTCTGAAGAAACAATTCGAATAGAATTTGGTTTCATATGAAAGACATGTAGTTTTGAACATGTAGTTCAAACACTTGAAAGTATAAAGTCAATGATATGTGCAATCAGTTTTCGATATCTTATATGTCTAGCATGACATGAAAACTTGATATGCATCTAAAGTCTATTATATGACTTATATGACTTAACAATCCATGAAGGATCATTGCTTAAAGCATATAGAATTCATGGTCATGAAGTACTATATCCTAAATGCAATTTGTGCACATATGTATCTTGCTATAACTATAAGCATGATAATATGATAGCAAGAGTATTCACCCCTAGTGAAGATATTGAAATGATGATTCCAACAAGATCATATGAAGACAATACATCTATCAAGGATCATGATTTCAAGGTGAAAGATATTCGTTGAAGTTAATATGGTTGATATTGTTTATCAAATCTCTACCAAAGATCTTTTGAAGATGGTGCACAAGATTGGAATGCAAATGCTTAAGGATGTGAATTGGTGCTCTCATCAGGGGGAGTTAATACGCGTTGTACTCTTTTTCCCTTACAAGGTTTTGTCCCACTGGGTTTTCCTTGCAAGGTTTTTAACGAGGCAACCAAAAGGCGTATTATTAGATATGTGTACTCTTTTTCCTTTGCTAGAATTTTTTTCCCGTTGGGTTTTCTTTTAGTTAAGGTTTTAACGAGGCACATTATCTATTGAATAGACATTCAAGGGGGAGTGTTATAAATAGAATTGTATTTATGGTGAATATCTATATTTAGAGAGATTCTAGGGTTCATTGCTTGGTGGCTAAGTCGCCCTCTCCCTATAAATAGAGGATTTTATTCCATTGTAATTCATCCCAAAATTCAATAAGAATCCTTTCTCTCTCTCTTTCACTGCAATATTGTTCTTCTACTTTTATTATTTCATAACAAAAAGATCTTTTTTTTTTCAATCGTATTTATTAAAATTTCTTCGTGAATGGAAAAGGAAAGGACAGTAAGAAAAACTTATAGTATTTGGTTTAGACACTTTTTAACTTCAAAGTCAACACTGGCTGATCAACGGATATAGCACAAGTAATGGGCCAAGGCCCAAGATTACGAAGCTCAAATCAATGGA